CTATTGACAGCAGCATGCATTTTTGCAAACATTATAAATATATATATGTATACACATATAATTCCTACAGTCTATAACGTTGTACTAAAAAATATATTTTTAACCACATTTAATTTGCATATATATATAGATACAGGCAAACAAGGAAAAATGGAGAAGAATCAAGAAGTAGTATTAGGAGTGAGGAAAGGTGCATGGACAAAAGACGAAGATATCCTTTTACGGAAATGCATCGAAAACTACGGCGAGGGGAAGTGGCATCTTGTCCCTCTTAGAGCTGGTATATATATATTATTATTATTATTATTATTATTATTATTATTATTATTATTATTATTATTATTATTATTATTATTATTATTATTATTATTATTATTATTATTATTATTATTATTATTATTATTATTATTATTATTATTACATGAATTATATATATATCCAAAAATAGGAGAAGATATATATATATATAATATACATATATATTTATTTATTAATTATGCCATTTGATCAATGTTGCTGTGTGTTTTACTTGTTTTGCAGGTGTGAACAGATGCAGGAAGAGTTGCAGGCTGAGATGGTTAAATTATCTGAGGCCGAATCTTAAAAGAGGAATCTTTAACCAAGACGAAATCGATCTCATTGTTCGCCTTCATAACTTGCTCGGAAACAGGCGAGTCTTCTGAAAAGTATATAGCTAATCACTAGTAGAAAAGAATAACTTTTTGCTACTGTAAAAAGCCGTAACTAAACGTATATATAGATGCGTCCGTGATATTATAATTAGGTCAAGCTCTAGTTTTGATCAATTCCGAACATACTTACATACATTTATATATATATTATAGTTTTAAGTAATCTGAAATTAATAAAGTTGAAATAAGCTTACGGATACCATTTCGTGTTTCTTTATTTTATTTTTTTTGCATATATTAATCGTGGGATTAATTGTAAAATGTTTTGATGATTTACTATATATATTTCTTTCTTTCACTTCATAATTGCTTATACATTGTCCATATTAATATTAACCGAAAGTTCTATGCGCACACATATATACACATGGGTATGCGTAATTATGTGCAGATCTATGGTTAACAGATACCTAATATTAACACGGCATTCATCTCTAGTAGCACATTCACATTAGCAGTATATGAACTTTGTCAAAAAAAAAACGTATACTATTTGTCTTGTAATGTGCAGCTTATTTACAAAATAGATATACTAATATATATGAGATGAATTTGCTAGTGATAAGAGATGACGTACGAAGAAGGTAAAGGATATAACTCGATCTTTAACGGGAGATCGAAAAAACGGAACCTTCATTTATAGTATACATTTCTTCAATAACAATATTAGAGAGATACAATTAAGTTGTGACAGCATTTTATTTAGTTTTTATTTTATTACTTCGGACTTATAAGGAGCATTCATGCAGTAATTGATTTACAATTATATATAGTTTTAATTAGAAGTAAAAAATCAGACAAAACATACGTAAAGACATAGCAATCCGGTCGATTAGGTTTTCTTGTTTAACGACATTCGATAGCGTTGTTGCAGGTGGTCGCTAATTGCCGGTAGAATCCCGGGAAGAACAGCGAACGATATCAAGAACTTCTGGAAAACCCACTTCCGAAAGAAGTCATCCGGCGCCGGAGAAAGTTCCGGAGCGGTCAAAACCCCCGCACTGCAGGGATGTAACATCTTCCGACCCACACCTCGGACCTTGTCCAAATCATTTCAACACGTGCCGGAACATTGTCCGAGTGACGATGGACCATCGGATTCATCAATGTTCAAAAACAAGGAGCCGTTTCTCTCGCCAGTTGTGGAAGAAGGGGGAGAAGACGATGGAGACGATGAAGAAGGAGACGATGAAAAAATAGACGAATGCATTAAATGGTGGGCAGAATTGCTCGAAACAACGGAAAATGGGCAAGGAAATAATTCATCGTTGTTTTCCGACGACCATTTGATGATTAACGAACCGTCGTCTGCAGCAAAGTTAACCCCGAATGGATTGTTTGATCATGCAAACATCTTCGCAACTCATATTGATAATGGACTGACTGATTTATCCCTAGATTTCGATGATTGGGAACTCTAGCGCGCGCTAACGTAGTCACGAACAAAATCAACGCGCCAGCTAGCTAGCTATCGACGCAATAGGCGCGCGTGCATTGTTTTTATAATTCACTTTTCGTGACGTTTTCTTCATTCCCGCGTTTATTTATTTCATCTGTTTCAAAATAATGGTACATTCTCTCGTTTTCGATTTCAATAATACATATCGTATCATTTTCATTTTTTTTTTTGCCGTTAGTTTAGTAATCGATCCGTTTATATCGATGATTCATTTTTTTAATTTTTATTATAATTGTTCATCATGCATGATGAATTGATGATACATTGATCGATGAAGTGTTACAGAATTGTTTTGACAATTCGATTTGTTGCATATATTTCATTCATCGCGTGTGTCGGTTTTCTCTAATTTAGTATTCCACACAGTAGATGTATACTAGTGGGACAAAAAGGATTATTTCCGACAATTATTTATTAATATTCAGACAAAATATTGATGACGAAGACAAATTCAGACAAAATGATTACAATAAGCCCGTACTATATTACTACAAAATTACCCCTATTAGGTATAAAATTTATTACTGGTTACGTGTCCCACACTTTCAAACTGGCCTTTTTAATGACTAGTTGGCGTTTTTTTTTTTTTTTTTTGTTTATTTAGGGTTTTTGACATTTTGCACCCTTAAATTATACATTTTTTGCACTTTGTACTCTTCAATTGTAAAATTGGCAGATTGCATTCTTTAAATATAAATTGTTTGGCATTTTGCACTCCAAATCATTTTTGGCTTAAAAAACTTACTTGCAACTTGCTGGAAACCTGGAAGATGGGCAAATTCATAATTTTCTTATTATCTATCCTCTTCCCTTAAATTCTTAATCACCGTTCCACAATTTTTATCTTTTGTTCCTTGAAACAAAAAATCCTAAAAAAAATTTAGCCATTTCTTTCAATGGTAAAATCGGTATAAACACTAAATAATAATAGTAAATTACTTTTTTTTTTCTTTTGAGTATGAAAAATAGTGTAACTGGAAATTTTAAGCAGAGCCCTCAATTTTTTATTTTTTTTTGAATAGTCAAATGACAAAATAGGGCTACTCAGAAGTTTATTTGGTGGTAGAAAGGTGGTGCCTATTAGTTTCAGATGGGAAGATTTTTGTGCTTCCATTGAATAGTTTGGATTTGCAAAATTATTTAAAAAAACAATAGCGTTACCTTGGAATAAAACTTCTTTTTCTGAAGGTGTTTTATCGGACTCTTGTCTATATATTCCGACCATTATTGAGTTTTAGTTCAGAATTTACATATTTTAGCAAATAGAAACGGCTAAGAAAAATTTAAGATTTTTTAATTAATAGGACGAAATATAAAAATGGTGGAACGATGATTAAGAATTGGGGGAAGAGGATAGATAATTTGAGAACTGCGAATTTGTCCATATTTCAGGTTTTCAACAAGTCGCAGATAATTTTTCTAAGCCAAAAGTAATTTGGGGTGCAAAGTGCCAAACAATTTATGTTTAAAGGGTGCAATCTGCCAATTTTGCAATTTAAACGTGCAAAGTGCCAAAAATCCTTTTGCTAGGACAATTAACTTACTTGGATGTACTACTTTTGGTAATAGAAATTATGGCAAAGTACAATTTACACCCCTAAACTATTAGAGTTATATCAGTTTGCCCCCTTAAACTACAAAACGTCTCAATACCCCCCCCCCCCCCCCCCCCCCCCCTTCATTTTTAAATTTTGTTTGTATATGCTAATATGGCACTTTGACTACTTTAATTTGCCCATCTATTCAATTATATATATATATATATATATATATATATATATATATATATATATATATATATATATATATATATGGGCGGGACCAGGATCAAAATATAGGGGGGGCTAACTAAAATTTTGGGGTCGGGCGCAGCGCCCCAAAAAAATTTAGGTGCCATTGCAAAAAATAAGTTTATATAACTAATTTTTAATTAAAATATCATACATATTATATATATGATATTAAAAAAAAGTTTTTCAAAAAAAAAAAGTCAACGCCGGTCAACAGTGGCGACCGGCGGTCTCTGGTGGTGGCGGGTCAAAATTGAAATTATGGTTAAAATTGGTTAATTGATGAAATTGGGTTAAATTGGGGTGTAAATCATGAAATTGGAGTTGAATTGTGTTTCAATGAATTGGGGTTAATTTTGGTATATATAAAATGATTTTCCTTATTTGCAAATAAGTTTGAATGTGCTGGATTTATTTGAAAGACAAAAAAGTTGGATGCCCTCTTTTAATTAAGTGCCCTGTCATGGGCCTATTTGCCATTTACCCTTTTAAATAAGTACCGCTACCCCACCTTTTTATTTAAGATCTTATAATGAGTAAAAGTAGAAAATAAACTTATTATCCAAACACTTTAAAAATTAATTCTAAAAATAAGATGTAACAACTTATCAGCTCTTAAAATATCTTATCACATGTAAGAGTTTATCAGCTGTTTAAAATAAGTTTAGCCAAACACCCTCTAAATACGAATCTCATCAACCAAACATCTTACTAATCCTTACTATTTAGTTTTAATTTTTTTTTTTTTTAATGAGAAAACCCTATATTATTTAATTAATAGAGCTTAATAGAATTGAGCAAACGAATTGGTTGTTCGTCACGTATCAAAAAAGGTTCAAACTCGTACAATGATCATATAGTTAATTTTTCATACTAGATATAATGTCAACTTTTAATGTGTGTATATGAGACGAATTAAAAGAAAATAAAAAAAATAAAAAAAATAAAAAAAATCTTAAATTAGGGCAATGGGGACATCATCAATTGCTAACTTGTTGTCACAGCATTTAACTCAAAAGTACAAATTTGTTGATAAATTAAATTAAATAGTTCTCGGCAGAAAAAATCATTGGGTGTCACAATCTATTGGAATTTGATTTATTATTTTGGCAGCTCGATTCGGTTCATGAATAATTCATTGAATTGGGTCACTTCAATAAGCCCAATAGCCAATTAATATATAATATATCTAAAATTAATTATTGGGTTCATCTCATTAATTTTCCTTTTTCTTCAAACAAAAAGTTTCAACAGTTTTCCTACTAGAAACTCATTAAAGTTTAAACTCTCTTTACATTTTTAGTTTTCTACTTAATTACAATATTGACTTGAGCGTCGAAGAAGTTTCGAATATACTTCAGGCCTTATTCTCCACGCGTGTTTTGCTGATATCCTGTTTTAGGCGAACCCTAAAATTTACCTCAATGGTAAAGGTTATGTACAACTCCCGTAACGAATATTGGTTGGTTTTGTAACTGGATTTTAGTCGAGCAATACGACCACAATTCACATAATAGACCGAAGCCTTGGATCAGATTTAGTACAATGCTATTGTTCTATTCCGAATTCCGATTTCTAATTTATTTTTTCTAGCAAAAAGGGAAAATGAAAAATTGGAATAACATGCCGATTTTGATCCTATTTCCCAACCCTCCTCAACACACATTAAGAAAAACTCGGACTTGTAGTATTATACAGAAGAAATTAATAATATTATCAAACAGTGTTCAAATCTCCTACTACAAAATCAAGGCCATTTTACATTCGAGAAAATAGAAATACTTTGATCTTCTTCTCGAAACACTCGACAAACCTATGCA